CACCTGTGTGCTCACCTGTGCTCACCTGTGCGAGGCTGCGGGCACCATCCCGGGCAGCAGAGTCCCACCAGCTCCTCCCCGTGCTGAGCTCAGCGTCTGCCCCATCCCCGGCCCTTGCCCAGCAGGGATGGGCGTGTGGCTACTCACAGCCAGGCCGGCCTAGCCCAGCCCGGCCCGCTGCCCCCAGAGCCGGGGCCTGTGCCCCCCCGGGGCTGTCCGTGCCCCCCGGGGCTGTCCGTGCCCCCCGGGGCTGTCCGTGCCCCCCCCGGGGCTGTCCGTGCCCCCCCCGGGGCTGTCCGTGCCCCCCGGACCGACAGCAGCTGGGACAGACGGACACTGGGGCGAGCGCAGGGGCTGCGCTGGTGGCACTGGGGGGATGTCCCCGCCTGGGGGAGCTGGGCCAGCGGTTGGTGCTGGGTGGCTACCGGACCCCCTGATGGCTCTGCCAGCTCAGCCCCAGCTCCTGCAGCTCCTGCCCGGACCCAGCGCCCTCCCCACGGCCGGGCACGGCAACTCTGCCAGGGCAGCCCTGGCACCCAGCCTGACTGGCCACCAGCCCAGCCACGCGGGCTTTCTGCTGTGGGACAATCCCTCCGACACGAGTGGCCACATCCCAGTGCCCCTGGGCTCCCCTGGGCACGTCTGGGCTCACCTGGGCTCCCTGGACTCACCTGGGCTAACCTGGGCTCCAGTATGGCTCAGCACAGCCCAGTACGGCCCAGTACGGCCCAGTACGGCCCAGCACAGGGCACTGGGTCCTGTGTGCACAACTGTGCTGGGATCCCCTCACTGTCCTGCCAGTCCCTGGTGAGCCCCCGTCGGCCGTGCCCATCTGCCCAGTCAGTGGCCACCGTGCCCATCACTGCAGTGGCCACCGTGCCCATCACTGCAGTGGCCACCGTGCCCGTGCCTGGTGCCACTGCAGCCCCGGGGCTCTCTGAATTTCCAGTGTGGCTCACGGGGGAGCTGCAGGGACTCTGCTGTGCCACCCTGCTGGCACCGAGCCCTCGGTGGGGCCACCGAACCCCCATCCCAGCTTGCCCGTGGGTTCGGGCTCTCAGCACCTCCCGTGGGCAGCCACCAGAAACCCGTGCCAGTCTCCGGGCCACAGCTGCCTCCGCACGGGCCACAGGAGCAGAGATGGGCACGGTGGCCACCCCCGCCCCTCTCAGTGGCCCCGCAGGTGCTGGCCCTGCTCAGACGTCGCCCCGCGAGCCCAGGGCGTTGTTGCAGCCAGCGCCTCTGCACCTCTGGGTGCTCCAGGTGACCCTGCCCAGGTTCCTCTGCCCCCCTGGACCACCAGCCTGGCGCTGCCCAGGTGTTCCGACAGGAAGGCACCTGGGGGGGTGCAGCAGCCCTGCCAGGGCTCGGTGCCCACTGGCCCGTGCCGAGCCGGGCTCGCCCAGCCTGCCTGGAGACGGGCGCCTCTCCAGACAACACACTCCCACGCGCATCAACAGCTCGCCCCGGCCCCGCATCCTCGCCCCGCACCTCGCCCCGCTCCTGGGAGCAGAGGGGGCTGTGGCAGCACCCCCTGCCCGCTCCGTGCCCCGCTCGGTGCCCGCTGCTCGCACAGCGCCCACCAAGCCCCCGGGAGAGGGCTGGGGGGGCTCGGGGGGAGCGGGAGCGCGTTGTGGGGCTGGGGAGAGGGTGTGGAGCTGCTGACGGAGGCAGGGCAGGGGTGTTTGGGTGACTCAAGCAGCAACAGGATGGTTTGGGCATGTTTTGGGCAATTCAGGCTCCGTGCACATCCAGGGGCGTGGGCAAGGCTGGGGGGAGCAGGGAAGGGCCCCCCCCCCCTGTGCCCCAGCTGCTGTGGTGCCAGGGTTCGGCCCAAACTGGGGTTCTGGCAGCCCTGCACCCGCAGCCCGGGGTCTGGGCACTGCAATGGGGCACAGGGGCACTGCTGGCACTGGGGAGGGCTTGGGGTGACGGAGAGGAGGATGAGGAGCTGTGGGGATGAAGGACCCTGAGGAGGAAGGCCCCTGCCCTTGGCTCTCACCTCTATGGGGGGCACAGCCCAGAGGGACAGGGTTAGGGTCGAGTTTAGGGTTAGGGTTAGGGTCGGGTTTAGGGTTAGGGTCAGGGTCAGGGTTAGGATTAGGGTCAGGGCCAGGGTCAGGCTTAGGGTTAGGTGTAGGTTTAGGTCCCTCCTGCACCACAGCTAATTTGGGAGCAGTGGCCCCCCTGCAAGGAGGGTCCGCAGGCCCCAGAGGGAGCCTTGGCGAGGGTTGGCCCACGAGTTTCTGCTGGGCTGGGCCGCTGTGTCATCCCCAGGGGCGGGGAAGGGCCGGGGTTTAAACGCGCTCCGGTCCCGGGCAGGAAGCAGCGGCAGAGCCGTGGAGCTGCGGGCACCGCCAGGTGAGCCCGAGGTGCGATTTCCGTGCCCAGGTAGGAGCCCTGGGGCGGGCAGGAGCCCGGCTGGGCACTGCGGGCCGGGCTGCGGGCACAGCGGCGCCCTCGCCATCCCCGGAATGGGAGGAATGCGGCACGGGGCCCTGGCACCCTGGGCACCTCCTGGGGCACGGCACGGCGGGGATGGCGGTGCCTGAGCCCGGCACGGCCCCGGAGAGGGACGGGAGGGGATGGATCGCTCCCGGGAGAGCCCGGGATGCCTCGAGGCTCCGGTGGCACGGGAGGGCTCGGTGGGCGATGGGGAAGGGGCGGGCAGTGGGACGGGACCGGCAGCGCCCTCACAGTGCGCGGTGAGGTGGGTCAGGGTGCGGGGGGTGTCCGTGAGGACACCGGGCAGGACCCCGGGGGTGTCCCTGTGTCCCCTCGGGCACCGGACAGGACCCCGGGGGTGTCCCTGAGGACACCGGGCAGGACCCTGGGGGTGTCCGTGAGGACACCGGACAGGACCCTGGGGGTGTCCCTGTGTCCCCTCGGACACCGGGCAGGACCCTGGGGGTGTCCGTGAGGACACCGGGCAGGACCCCGGGGGTGTCCCTGTGTCCCTTTGGACACCGGACAGGACCCTGGGGGTGTCCCTGTGTCCCCTCGGACACCGGGCAGGACCCCGGGGGTGTCCCTGTGTCCCCTCGGGCACCGGACAGGACCCCGGGGGTGTCCCTGAGGACACCGGGCAGGACCCCGGGGGTGTCCCTGTGTCCCCTCGGACACCGGGCAGGACCCTGGGGGTGTCCCTGAGGACACCGGGCAGGACCCCGGGGGTGTCCCCGTGTCCCTTTGGACACCGGACGGGGCCCCGGCACTGCCTGGGGAGGGGGCTGAGCTGCCCCCAGCCCGCTCACGGCAGCGCCCCCCCAAAGCGCTCCCCATCCCCTTCCGTGTTCCCATCACTGCCCCAGAAAAATTCGCAGCTGCTCTCCCTGCCCCAGCCTGTCCCACGGGACCCCACCCTGACATTGTCCCCGGCCCCGCCAAGCTGCCACCCCCAGCCCCAGCCCCCGCCTCTCCCTGCCGCACCAAAAACTCCCAAACAATTCCCAAACACCTCCCAAACACCTCCCAAACAATTCCCAAACACCTCCCAAACAATTCCCAAACAATTCCCAAACAATTCCCAAACATCTCCCCCGCCCCCTGTCCCGGTAAAACCTGCCCCGTGTCCCGGTCCCGGTCCCGGTCCCTCCCTGCGGGTGCAGACGTGCGGATTGTCCCGCGGGACGTGACCAGCGGCGGGTGGGCGAGGAAGGGCCCTGGAGGGGCTCCCGTGAGTGCCCGGGGGCTCCCGTGGGTGCTCGGGTGGCTCACGCCGGTGCCGGTGCCAGTCCCAGTGCCGGTACCAGTGCCGATACCAGTGCCGGTACCGGTACCGGTGCCGATACCAGTGCCAGTGCCAGTCCCAGTGCCGGTACCGGTACCGGTGCCGGTGCCAGCCCCTCCCCTGGCACAGCCGCAGCGGAAGCCGCGGATCCGCGGTTGTGGCTACCAGGGCGCGCTGCCAGCGTGGGGCAGAGAGCGTGGCCCCGGGGAGGGCGGCAGGTGCCAACACCTCTGCCAGGAACCTGCCTGCCTTCCTCGGAAAAGGCGATTACTCAAAGTTTCCGATGGGGCTGACGCCTCCTGACGAAAGGGAGCGGAGCGGGGGGGGCGGGGGGGACACCCCCACCCTGTGATTGATTCCCCCGCCGCCCAGGCTTCCAAATTCCACAGGGATGGGCGGCGATGCCCAAATTCCATCTGCGCTCCGGTGCCGTTCGGTTTTGGGAACGTGTGGGGACCTGCCTGGGGCTGTCCAGGTGTTGGAACCACTCCGGGCCGGTGTCCCCGGCTCTGGGACACGCAGGGACCTGCCTGGGGCTGTTCGGGTGTTGGAATCTCTCTGGGCTGGTGTCGGAACCACTCCGGGCCGGTGTCCCCGGCTCTGGGACACGCAGGGACTCGCCTGGGGCTCTGCAGACACCGCGGCCACTCCGGTGCCTCAGTCAGGGCTGGGCTGGGCCCTGCCGGTTCCGAGGGCAGCGCAGCCGGTGCCATCCAGCCTGGCACGTCTCTCCGTGCCCGGAAAGGGCTGCGGGGCCCCAGAGCCGCAGGGAGGTGCCGCCAGCCCCGCAGGTGTTTTGCATGTGCACGGCACAGGGAGCCCGCGGGGGCGTGGGCAGCCGCTGGGACAGAGCCAACAGCCCTGAGAGCTGGGGGAGCTTCTCTCTGCCACCCCCAGAGCAGGACAGAGCAGCTGGACCCCCCCTTCCCCCCAGGCAGAGACCCCCGAGCCCTCCTCCCCCGTCCTCGGCACCGCCTGGGCACATCCAGGACCGAGGGAGCCGCCGAGAACCTTCCCCGGGCGGGCCCAGAGCCCGGGGCACGGCGGGCACAGAGCAGAGAGCGTGAGGAAAAGGGGGAGAGGGGCCGGGGGCACGGGATGGGCAGGGGGGACACGGGGGATGAGGCTGGGGGCACGGGATGAGCAGGGGGGACACGGGATGAGCAGGGGGAACACGGGGGACGAGGATGGGGACACGGAGAGGCTGCTCCTGGAGGGGGCAGGGCACCGTCGGGGCGCTTTTTGCTGCTTTTTTTTGGCACGGGTGGGGCCGGGGAGGAGCTGGGGCTGAGAGCCCCGGGCAATGGCACAGAGCGGCCCCACAGCGTCCACACGGTGCGGGAGGGGCAGTGTGGGTGACCCCGGGTGTCCCCGGGTGTCCCCGGGTGTCCCTGGGGGCTCTGTGGTCAGTACCTGAGGGGGGACGGGCAGTGTGGGTGTCCCTGGTCGTGGTGGTGAATGTGATCTGGGATTGGGTGAATGTCCCCCAGAATTGGGTGAATGTCCCCCAGAATTGGGTGAATGTCCCCAGGGATTGGGTAAATGTCCCCAGGGATTGGATGAATGTCCCAGGACTGGGTAAATGTCCCCTGGATTGGGTGAATGTCCCCAGATTGGGTGAATGTCCCCAGGGATTGGGTGAATGTCCCAGGATTGGGTGAATGTCCCCTGGACTGGGTAAATGTCCCCTGGAATGTCCCCCAGATGGGTCTGGGGGTCCGGCCTGGCCCACAGAAGGAACCCAGAGACGATTTTGAGCACAGCTGCTGGCCCTGCCTCACATTCCTTTCCTTGCTTACTTGTTTACTTGTCTCCTGAATAATGGATTTCCTTTTATCTAATCTCAGCAGTTGGAGTTTCAGTCCAAAGTTCCAGTCAGGAATTCTTTAAGGAGGGGTGGGCTTCGATGAGCAGAATTTTATATCCATGTTTGAGCCACATCGTGCAGCTGTGCACGCAGGAGGGCAGGTTTGGGTTAGGGGCAGCCTCACCCCGGTAGCCCTGGGGGCTCCTTGCCTGGTGGCCACTGCTCACTGGGATGGAGCCTCTGCCTTCCCTGCGTGCCTTGGGCAGGGTGGGAAGGGGGGACAGCAGGGCGGGGGGTCCTTCAGCAGCCCTGGAATCACAGAATCATGGAATGGTTTGGGTGGAGAGGGACCTTAAAACCCAGCCAGTCCCACCCTGTGACATGAGAAAGGACATTTTCCACGGAATCACAGAACCATGGAATCACAGAATCACAGAATTACAGAGAATCACAGAATTACAGAGAATTAAAGAATCACAGGATCACAGAATCACAGAAACACAGAAACACAGAATCACAGAATTACAGAATTATAGAAACACAGAATCACAGAAACACAGAATCACAGGATCACAGAATCATAGAAACACAGAAACACAGAATCACACACAATCACAGAGTCACAGAATCACAGAATCACATACAATCACAGAATTACAGAGAATTAAAGAATCACAGAATCACAGAATTAATTACAGAATCACACAGAATTAAAGAATCACAGAATCACAGAATTAATTACAGAATCACACAGAATTAAAGAATCACAGAATCACAGAATCACACACAATCACAGAATTACAGAGAATTAAAGAATCACAGGACCACAGAATCACAGAATTTTGGGTTAGGAGAGATCTCCATGGTCATGGAGTCCAGCCCAGCCCAACACCTGGACTCGACCATGGTACCCAGTTCCACATCCAGATTTTTTTTTAAACAAATCCAGGGTTGGTGACTCCACCACCTCCCCAGGCAAACCATTCCAATACTTTATTATTCTTTCAGTGAAAAACTTCTTCTAATATCCAACCTGTGTCTTCTTCTGGTTCTGTCAGTGCTGCCTGAGGAGAGACCGACCCCACCTGGCCCAGCCACCTTTCAGAGAGCTGTAGGGAGTCATAAGGCCACCCCTGAGTCTCCTTTTCCCCATGGGACCAGGCTGCTCCAAACCCCTCCAGCCCGGCCTGGAAAATTCCAGGGGTCCAGGGGCTGCTCTGGGCACCTGTGCCAGCCCTGCCCACCCTGCCAGGGAAGGATTCCTAATTCCCAAAATCCCATCCAGCCCTGCCCACCCTGCCAGGGAAGGATTCCTAATTCCCAAAATCCCATCCAGCCCTGCCCACCCTGCCAGGGAAGGATTCCTAATTCCCAAAATCCCATCCAGCCCTGCCCACCCTGCCAGGGAAGGATTCCTAATTCCCAAAATCCCATCCAGCCCTGCCCTGGGCACTGGGAGCCATTCCCTGTGTCCTGTCCCTCTGTCCCTTGTCCCCAGTCCCTCTCCAGCTCTCCTGGAGCCCCTTTGGGTCCTGCCAGGGGCTCTGAGCTCTCCCCGGACCCTTCTCCTGTCCAGGTGAGCACCCCCAGCTCTGCCAGCCTGGCTCCAGCCCTGCAGCAGCCCCGGGGCTCCTCTGGGCTCTCTCCAGCAGCTCCAGGTCCTTGGGGCAGCTCTGCAGGTGGGGTCTCACCTGAGCACAGGTGACCCCCAGGCCAGGGGGGTTTGGGGTCCCAGTGCACGTGGGGTCTGGGGCTTCTCATCCTTGAGTTTGGCCACATCCATCGGGCTGGGACATGCTCAGCCTTTGGCTGCCACTTCCTCCAGCCTGCGAATATTTGTGTTGCTGATTTCCCTGTATTTACCGTGCCATCCACCGAGCTGATTTCTCACTGGGCTCTCCCCTCTCCCTGCAGAGTCCTGGGAGCCGAGCGAGGCGTGCAGAGGGAGGATGGACACCCAGCCAGCAGTGAATGGCCACGCTGTTCCCAGCTCTCCCGGGGAGGACAGGTCAGGCACGAAGCCCCAGTGCCAGGACGCGATGCCGGGCAAGCAGCAAAGAGGAGCCGGCAGGGACGCGGGTGCCCCCGGGGAGCCCTCGGAGACGGCGGGCAGCATCGCGGGCGTGTTCGTGGAGGCTTCCAAGAGGGTCATGAGCTTTTATGAGGCCACCCGGGAGCACCTGCTGAGCCTGGACTCGGCCCTGTGCCTCCTAGAGGCCCAGGCAGCCACGGGCTCCGTGTGTGACCCGCTGGGGAGCCGCCGTGTGCCCGTGGCAGAGGCCGTGAGGACGGGGCTGGTGGGGCTGGAGCTGAAGGAGAAGCTGCTCTCGGCAGAGAGAGCGGCCACCGGCTTCGTGGACCCCTACACGGAGGAGAAGATCTGCCTGTACCAGGCCATGCAGAAGGAGCTGCTGGGGAGGGAGCAGGGCCTCCGCCTGCTCCAGGCCCAGCTGGCAACCGGAGGCGTCGTGGAGCCGGCCAGCGGCCGCCGGCTCCCGGCAGCTGTGGCCTGTCAGAGGGGGTGTCTGGATGAAGACACGAGCCAGCTCCTCTCCGACCCGGCCAGCGAGGAGAGCAGAGCGTTCCTGGACCCCAGCACCATGGAGAAGGTCACTTACTCGGAGCTCAGGAAGAAATGTGTCCTGGAGCCAGGCTCAGGCTTCCTCCTGCTGCCGCTCCAGATCACGTTCCCGGGGCTGGGCGGGCGGGTGAGCAGCAGGGACCTGATGGACTCCGGCATCATCAGCGCCGACGTGTTCCGAGGCCTCGAGGAGGGGACGATCTCTGCCCAGGAGGTGGCAGAGAATGAAATCGTCCAGCACTTCCTGCGTGGCACCAGGAGCGTGGCCGGGGTCGTGCTGCCCTCCGGGGAGCAGAAGAGCCTTTACCAGGCGCTGAGGGAGCATCTCCTGGTGCCTGGAGCTGCCCTCATGCTCCTGCAAGTCCAGGCCTCCACGGGCAGCCTGGCCGACCCCCTCAAGAACCAAAGCTACTCCGTGGACGAGGCTGTCAGGGTGGGTCTCGTGGGGCCCGAGCTTTATGAGAAACTGTCTTCAGCTGAGAAAGCCGTCACTGGCTACAGGGACCCCTCCACCGGGGAAATGCTCTCCCTCTTCCAGGCCATCAGCAAGGGCTTTGTTCCCAGGGATCACGGCCTTTGCCTTCTGGAGGCTCAGGTGGCCACGGGCGGTGTCATTGCCCCGGGCAAGCACCTCCGGGTGCCCATGGAGACAGCCTGCGAGTGGGGGTACCTGGACGAGGCCACCAGGCAGCTCCTCTGCAGCCCCCCTGATGACATCAAGGGCTTCTTCCACCCTGGCTCCAAGGAGAAGCTGAGCTACGCTGAGCTGCTCCAGCGCTGCGTCACCGACCCCAGCACGGGGCTGCTGCTGCTGCCCCTCCCCGGGGACAGCCCTGAAGGGTCCCAGGGAACGCTCGGCTTCCTCGACCACAGCACCCAGGCAGCTCTGGAGAGCACCCAGGTGCCCATTGCTGCAGGGAAATTCAAGGGCAAGTCGGTGTCTCTCTGGAAACTTCTCTTCTCCGACTACATGCAGGGTGAGCAGAGAGCTGAGCTCGCCCAGCGGCTCGTGGCGGGAATGCTGTCCCTGCAGGGACTGGGAGAGGCCGTCAGAGCCACCGTGGAGGAAAAGGCCGCCACTGCTAACGTCACCTTCGAGGGCCTGAGGGACCAGGTGACGGCTGACCAGCTCCTGAGCTCGGAAATCATCAACAAAGACTTGTTCAAGAAGCTCAAGGAGGGAGAAACGTCGGCCAAAGAAGTCGTCAGCATGGACACGGTCAGGAAGTACCTGCAGGGCACAGGGAGCATCGGGGGGCTGCTGCTCCCCGACTCCCAGGAGAAGATCAGCATCTACCAGGCGAAGAGGAAGGGACTCCTGAGGCCAGGAACGTCTCTGATCCTCCTGGAGGCCCAGGCTGCCACGGGCTTTGTCATCGACCCAGCTGCCAACAAGAGATATTCCGTGGACGAGGCTTTGCGAGCAAACGTCATCGGCCCCGACGTCTACGACAAGCTGCTGGCCGCGGAGAAATCTGTCACTGGCTACAGGGATCCGTACTCAGGGGGGAAGATCTCCCTGTTCCAGGCCATGCAGAAGGAGCTGATCGTCAGGGACCACGGCATCCGCCTGCTCGAGGCCCAGATCGCCACGGGCGGCATCATCGACCCCGTCAACAGCCACCGCATCCCCGTGGAGGTGGCCTACAAGCGGGGCTACTTCGACAAGAAGATGAATTTGATCCTGTCCGACCCCAGCGACGACACCAAGGGCTTCTTCGACCCCAACACCCACGAGAACCTGACGTACCTGCAGCTGAAGGAGAAGTGCATCACGGAGCCGCACACGGGGCTCTGCCTCCTGCCCCTGAACAGCAGGAAGAGGCAGTTCGTGGACGAGGCCACCAGGCAGGCGTTCAGGAGCTCCTGGCTGCCCGTCAGGTTCGGGCGCTTACGGGGGGAGAAGGTCTCCGTGTGGGACCTGCTGAACTCCGAGTACTTCAGCGAGGGGAGGCGCCGGGAGATCTTCAACCACTTCCAGCTGAGGAAGCTCAGCCTGGAGCAAATCCGGCTCATGCTGGAGGAGGAGATGAAGAAATGGGCTCCCATCAAGTTCCCGGCCATGAGGGGCAACGTCAGCGCTTATCACCTGATGGAGACCGGCGTCATCGACCGGGCCCTGTTCGAGCAGGTGCTGGAGGGATCCGTCAGCCCAGAGCAGGTCCTGCACATGGACTCTGTCAGGAAATACCTCTACGGCTCGGGCAGCATCGGGGGCATCGTGCTGCAGCCCTCCAACCAGAGGATGAGCATTTACGAGGCCATGAAGCAGAACATCGTGGTGCCAGGAGTAGCCCTGCCCCTGCTGGAGGCCCAGGCTGCCACGGGCTTCATTATCGACCCCGTGAAGAACCAGAAGCTCCGCGTGGACGAGGCCGTCAAGGAGGGAGTCATTGGGCCGGATGTCCACGAGAAGCTGCAGCACGCCGAGGGAGCCGTGACGGGCTACAAAGACCCTTTCACGGGCAAGAAGATCCCCCTCTTCCAGGCCATGAAGAAGGGCCTGATCGCCGACAAGCAGGCCATGCAGCTCATGGAGGTGCAGATGGCCACGGGAGGCATCATTGACCCCACGTGTGGCCACTACATCCCCCTCGAGTCGGCCCAGCAGCGGGGCTGCCTGGATGAGGACACAAGCAAGGCCCTCTCCAAGCCCAGTGACGAGCACAGAGTCTTCTGCCTCCCGGAGAGCAAGGAGAGCGTGACCTATGCCGAGCTCATCCAGCGCTGCCAGAAGGACGACGCCTCCGGCTTCCACCTGCTGCCTCTGGCACAGGCGGCCGCTCCTGCCTACACCGATGAACAAATCCAGCGGATTTTCAAGGAAACCATGGTGAAGGAAAGGGGAGTGTCCCTCTGGGAGCTCGTGCACTCGGGGTATTTCACCGAGGAGCAGAGGAGCGGCTTCACGGAGCGGTTCCGCTCGGAGGAGCTGTCGCTGGAGCAGCTGGTTGCTCTCGTGCTCAGGCTGGTGGAGGAGATGGAGATGAAAGCCAGGACCCAGATCTCCCTGGAAGGCCTGAGGGGCAACGTCCCGGTGGTCTGGCTGCTGGACACGGGCATCATTTCCCAGAAGACGTTTGAGGAGCTGGCTCAGGGTGTGAGAACCCCCGAAGAAGTGGCCGCAATGGAGAGCGTGCAGAGGTACTTGAAGGGCACAGGCAGCATTGCTGGGGTCTTCATAGAGGCATCCAAACAGAAGATGAGCTTCTACGATGCCATGAAAAACAATCTGCTCCTGCCTGGGGCTGCTCTGAGGCTGCTGGAGGCTCAGGCAGCCACGGGATACCTGACGGACCCTGCTACGAACCGGAGGCTGAGCGTGAGGGACGCGGTGAGAGCGGCTCTTGTTGGAGAAGAACTTAGCGAGAAACTCCTCCTGGCTGAGAGGGCTGTCACGGGCTACACCGACCCCTACACCGGGAGCCCCATCTCCCTGTGCCAAGCGCTCAGGAAGGAGCTCGTCCCCCTGGCAGAGGCCGTGCCCTTGCTGGAGGCCCAGCTGGCCACGGGAGGGGTGGTGGATCCCATCCACCACCTGCACCTGCCGCTCCAGGCTGCCTGCAGGTATGGCTTCTACGACGAGGAGCTGAACCAAGCCCTGTCCCAGCTGGATGACAGCACCCAGATCTTCTTTGACCCCAACACCAAGGAGAACGTGACCTACCAGCAGCTGAAGGAGCGCTGCGTCCGTGAGGCCGAGTCGGGTCTGTGGCTGCTGCCTCTGTCTGAAAACGCCATGTTCTGTGTGGATGAGGAGACCATGAAGGTGCTGAAATCTGTGACCGTTTGTGTCAACGTGGGGCGGTTCAAAGGGCAGACCGTGTCTGTCTGGGACCTCCTCAACTCCGAATACTTCTCGGAGAGCAAGAGAAGAGAGCTGGTGCAGAAGTACAAAGAGGAGAAGGCTGAAGTGCTGCAGGAAATCACAACAGTGATCACCACAATCATCCAGGAGACCGAGGCACAAGGCAAGAAGTTTGCATTCAAGGGCCTGCGGAAAAGAGTGTCCGCCAGTGACCTCTTCCAGTCCCAGCTGATAGACAAGAAAACCCTCGATGAGCTCAACCAGGGGAAGAAAACCGTCAAGGAAGTGACTGAAATGGAATCTGTCCGCAGGTACCTGGAGGGCAGCAATTTCATAGCAGGGGTCCTCATCCAGCCAAGCAATGAGAAGATGAGCATCTACCAGGCCATGTGGAAGGGCATCCTGAGGCCAGGCACCGCCCTGGTGCTGCTGGAGGCGCAGGCGGCCACCGGCTTCATCATCGACCCTGAGAAAAACAAGAAATTTTCAGTGGAGGAAGCGTTAGAGGTGGGGCTGATCGGAGGGGAGATTTTTGAGAAGCTGCTCTCGGCCGAGAGAGCCGTGACGGGCTACACCGACCCCTACACCAAAGCCCCGATGTCCCTGTTCGAAGCCATGAACCAAGGGCTGATCGTGAAGAGCCACGGCATCCGCCTGCTCGAGGCCCAGATCGCCACGGGCGGCATCATCGACCCCGTGCACAGCCACCGTGTCCCCGTGGAGGTGGCCTACAAGCGGGGCTACTTCAACCAGGAGATGAACCAGATCCTGTCCGACCCCAGCGACGACACCAAGGGCTTCTTCGACCCCAACACCCACGAGAACCTGACGTACCTGCAGCTGCTGCGCCGCTGCGTGCCCGA